TCTTCATTGTGATACTAGGGATGGAACCCAGGGCCTCATGCATGTTTAGCAAGTACTCTACCACTGAACTATGTCTCCCAGCCCAAGTATAATTCTGTTTTAATCATCAAATAAGAACCAGGTACTCAACCGTACCTTACACACTTATCATCCCATTCTTTAATTTTTATAATCACCTTCAGAAATGGATGGTATCATCCCTGTTTTACAGATAAGCCGAACTATTCACATTCTCAGCTTGCTTCCTTCTCTTTAAAGCTGTCTGAGTTTGAAAGCCCAGGCTTCTTCCAACTACACTTGACCACACCCTGAAACATAGCCTGACCATCATTTTCAGAGCAAAGAGTACTGCTCTATAGGGCTGCTCCAAGGTAATGCCACTTGTCTTAACTTTGTTCATAAGATGATGAACATCTTATGAACATCAGATTTCAGAAGAATCTGAACAGAGGTTTTGACCATAAAAAACTGCTGGCTCATGCAGGTCTTGGGTACATGATGGTGATGATACTACCATTCCCGAAGTGCCCGCTCTGCCAGACAGTGCATGAAATGTAGATGTGCTTACCAGCTTGCATGCTCTTCATCAAAGCCCTAGGAGAGTGATGGCGAATGTTTTAGAGCTCTCAATGATACAAACAGCCTGCTACAACACTTGTGCCCTAGGTTCACCACCACTGCCCGAGGAGATAGGTCCTGAAATGACCCATGCCTTTAGAGTTGAAAAAGCTGAGCACAACAGATGAGGGAGTTAGGATTCAAAGCTGAGAGCCAAATGATTCCAGAACCCAGGATCTTGGTCACCGCCTTCACTGCCCATTGGCAAATACAGTGATCGTAGCAACTGAGGGGAGGCTGCTGGCCACTTAGGACCTTTCTGAATCTCCAGTATAGAGAACCAGCATACAGTGGTGGAAAGAACTCCAGACAGGCCGCTCCAGAGCCTGTTTCTACCTGGCCACGTGACCTTGGTGGATCCTGCTCTTCTCACCTCAGTTTTCTCAACTGTAAAATGGAGCAAATTGAACCAAAAGATCATTCAAATGCAGATTTCACCCCATGCTGAGTTCACTGCCTCCCTTCTCACTGGGCTCTCAGATCCACACAAGGACAACCAGGAAGATAAATAGTTTTGGCTAAGGTGCTAAGCTGACAACAATCCCTACTCACCCAAGCTCAAAACTGAGGTGCTTACCTAGCTATTTCCAGACACCTCTTTCATTTGATCAGCTGCAAGACTTTGGGAAGCCACAACATTATGAAACAGCACAGCTATTTAAATCCATTTTCTCACACAGAACTCTTATTCATCCTGTGAAATAAGCGTTATTATCTTCTTTTGATAGGTGAAGAAACAAAGTTCATAAAGTCCAAAAAATTTAGGCAAAATCCAGCACCTAGGAAGCACGTGCACTAAAACCAGAACCAGTTACCTCTTACAAGAAAATGTGTACCTTTAATCACTTCATTAGTCACCAATTCTGTCGCAGCTTTTCCCACCTATAAATGGGAACAGTCATACTCATCTGCAGAGCCGTAATAAGGATGAAAGGGGTCATGCATGGACTTAGCCTGCCTCCGTCAGGGCCAGGACTCAGTAGACATTTTACAAAGAATAACTATCTTCCTGCTATTCTAAGATGTGGGGCAATAAATACTGTTGGCTGGTTTTTTTTCAGCCATTTATCTTCACACACATATGTTCAGTGTCTCAGAGCAATGCTTCTCAAACTGTAATGTGCTCAAGATCTCACTGAAATGCAGCCTCTGATTCATGAGACCTGAGGTCAGGCCTGAGGTTGTGCATTGTTAATATGCTCCCATGGGATGCCAGTGCTACTAGCCCATGGACCACACTTCAAGTAGCAAGGTCTTAGATCAGCCCCATCTCAGAAAGACATTCCAGTAGGGATAGCTGTTGCCAATCCCTTTTAAAGGAAGCCAGAAGGCCCAGCCACCCTCCACGTCCGTGTGTTCCCTCCAACCACCACATATGCACACAGGCACGCACACGCACACACAACAGGGTGGGGAATAGAAATGGAAAGACCAAAGAGCATCATAAACCTAGTGGATCTGAGCAAAACACAGCTGAAGAGAATTGATTTGGGCTCATTAGCAAGGCATTGGCTATGGTGATTTTTTCTAAGGACTCATAAATGACAGAAATTCCTTCCTCCAGCCCCAGTTACCAAGTTATCATGCACTAGGATCTGCCCTCTGGATATTTATGCTCTTGCATAAAGGACTAGCAGAGACACAACCACCTCTACTTACACCCTCGGGAGGATTCAACCCAGAGTCACTGGGTACTTGCAAGTTACCGAGGGTAGAAAGGCTGGCCCAGACAGAAACTAGAGACATCCTGGAACTACGGTTTATAGCACCAAAGACCTGAAAAAAGCCAGGTGTGGTGATACATTGCTGTAATCCTGGCACTGTGGAGGCTAAGGCAGCAGGATTTGAGGCCAACCTGGGTCGCATAGTGAGTTCAAGGCCAGCCTGCACTGCAAAGTGAGACTTTGTGTCAAATAAACAAAGACCTGAAAAAATATTTTAATAACCCACATTCAACCCTGCTGCAGACCCCAGTCATTGTTGTCATTGCGTCATTTACAGAGTTGCCATTGCATACTAGGTGTCTTAGGGGTGTGTGATTTTTTACATCATTAGTTAACTTCCCATTGGGTAAGTAGGAGTTCAGTACTCCTTATCTGAAATGCATGGAACCAGAAGTGTTTCAGATTTCAGATATTGGAATATTTGCATATGTGTAATGAGATATCTTGGGTTCTAAACAAAATAATTCATTTATGTTTCATATAGACCTTTTACACGGACCCTGTAATTATATACAACATTTTTGCCATGTCTGCATTTTGACGGCAAGCCATCATGTGAAGGCAGGTGTGAAATCAGTGCTTAAAATATTTCAGATTTTGGATTTTTAGATTAGAGGTGCTCAACCTATATTATTATTCCCATTTTATAGGGGATGGAAATGGCTTAGAGAGAACTAATCATTTCTTCAAGGCACACAGCAGCCAACCTAGGCTTTGCACTCTCAATGGCCAAACTGCACAACCTAGGTTTTAAGAAGATCAGTGGTCTAGCACAGAGGGCCTGGCACTGACTTTGGACCCAGATGTCTGGGTTAGGCTGCTTCCTGCCTGTTACACATACTGCAGTGCGGTCTTGGGCCAATTACCTCACTTTTGAAGTCTGCCTTCCCTGTCTGTGAAAATGAGTGTAATAACAATTGTAGCGATCTCATAGGGTTCTTGTGAACATTATGTGCAATCATGAATATAAAACACTTAGCATGAGGCCAGGGATGGAAAATGTGCTCAGTAATGTGAGTGAGAATTAGTACTACAGTTTCACACACTGACTTTTGGAACCAGGCTATGTTGCTCTGGTTTAGGATACAACCAGCTACCACCCCAAACTGCACTCTCCTCTCCCCACTGAGAGCTCTCTGACTGGCTTTTTAACTATGACGGGACATGAACTTGCATTACGAAGCAGGCAGACGTGGCTCATGCCTCCTGCCTGCTGGGGAAGGGGCCTGAGGCTGCCGTGTTTGAAAAGGCAGGAGGATGCCTCTGAGAGTGTCCACAGCAGAGGCTGTCCTGGGCCAAGACTTCGGGCTTAGTTGGCAGTCACCACACAGCCAGGAAGCCCCAGTCCCACGCCATCACAGGCACTGGCAGCGGCAGAAGAGGGAAGCAGACTTTCTGAGGCAGATGGCGAGCAGGTGGTGGTGGCGGTGGGAGGGCTCCCGTGATGACCCCCACCTGGCCTGCACCCAAGCCCTGCACCGATGGCCCAGAAACATGCACAGCAGATACCTCCCCAGGGCCGTGCTACCAAGTCCACGCTACCAAGTCTTGCCAGTACTTGGGTGCAGCCCTGGTCCTTCAGTCCCACAGCAAAAGCAGGTGCCAAAGGGTCGAGAATATTCGGGCTGCTCCCTGGGACCCTGAGTCCAACGTCCACCCTCCTTGGTGCCTTTGTCCTTGCTATTCTTTCTGCCTGACAGGATCCTCCCCACCTGCCACACACTTGGCTTCTTGTCAGCTCCAGCATTCCCTTCAGAGGAGCCTGGTCCAAAGAAACCTTCCTCAGCCTGGCCTAACCTTGGACTCACCTGCAGAACTCTGGGATAAATACCGACACCGGGACCTCACTCCAAACCAATGGAGGATGAATCTCTGGTGGGGTTGTCATCTTCTAGGAGCCAAGATCTATTGGCTCAGTCCACCCCCAGCCTCAGTCTACCCTACTCAAGTTGTAGATTACAGGGAAACCTCAGTGAGACTCACAGTAGTGCCATCCACTAGCATGTACGGGATGCCTACCGGATGCTGAGTGGGTTACACAACTGCAACACTTCCTTATGGGAAAGCTCTAGTTCCATTCTCATAACAGCCCTATCAGAGGATATAGGCTTTCTTGCAAGGTCAAGGTCAGCCAGGCAGGAAGAGGTGGTGCTGGAATCTGAAGCCAGGAGCACCTGCATCCAAATCTGGTGTTCTTGCCCCGCAGTGTTGTACAGAAAAGCGCACAAACTCAAGCAAGTAGGGAAGCTGTAGCCTGTGCTCTGGGGCGCTCAGCTTTCCTCCCTTCCTCATTGTGACAGGAGAGTTCCCTCTGGCTGGCTCCTAGTCACACACCCTTATGCTGGAGGCTGCTTGCCACCATCTCAGCTTCATCCCAGGAGATGCTGGGTCATGGCAGCCATCGAAATCCTCCTCACCAGGTGCTTCTTTCCCTTCTGCTCCTTAGGGCAAGGACTGCACTGTGCCCATCAACACCTGCATCCAGAACCCCTGTCAGCACGGAGGCACCTGCCACCTGAGTGAGAGCCACAAGGATGGGTTCAGGTAACAGCTGCCCCTGGGCTCCTCTCATGGGCAGACTCCTCATACGGATGATGTCAAGGGTTTTTGCACCCCATAGAGAAAGTGCATTATTCCTACCATACAGATAAGGAAAATGCGGCATCGAAAGGATAAACCCTCTGCCTGGAGTTACAGAGTAAATATTGGCACAGGGATTTGAATCCAATACTAGCCTGTCCTCTGTGAGCCAGGAAGTCTCCAAGGAAGGCTACAGCTACTAGCTGAAGTCAGAAAAGTATGGAATGCAGGCTGAAAAACCTGCCAGCCTGGCAATCCCACCACTCTTTTCTAGGTTATTATTATTAATAATAATAACAGGTGATAAAATGACAGTGCTCCCATGTGCCAAGCACTGACTGGTCATGCATCTTATTTCAGTCCTCCCATGACCCTAGCCAGGAGGAAGGTCCTGTCCTCATTGAATAGATGGGAAACCAAGGCACAGAGCTTGATTTGCTCTAGGTCGCGTATCCTAACACTGGTTCCTGGATCTTCCAACCCCACCTCCAGTGCTCACCTCACTGGCATTAAGGTCTCAAGAAGAAAAAAGGATAGTAACCATTTAAGTTAAGCTGTCCTAGGGGTGGCCTTAGGCCTTTTGCCAAACCTCAGGCCCCCTTCCGGCTTCCTGCCTTCCCCAGCAGCTTGCAGATGCCCAAGTTCCCCAGCCTTGTAGCCTGGCAGATAGAAACCAGCGGGCTGGACAGCAGCGCCTGTGCAGTAAAGGAGAGGCCCCTGTGCTGAGCTCTGGGCGGATGTCCTGGAGCTCAGGTTGCAAACAGTTCATTATCAGAAGCACTTGAGCCAGAGGCTGCAGTGTGGTCTGTGGAAGAAATCAAGGCCTGGGCTCCCAGTTCTCCCTCCTGGGAGAACCCAACCCGCCCAGTCCTGCTGCCAAGCCAGCCCCATCAAACCCTGCTCTTGAAAAGTGAAACTCAAGGCGGACTTCCTGTTCCTGCCTGGAGTCAGCCAAACCACCCACTTCCTCTGCTCACTGAAAGAGTGAGGAGAAAGGACAGGGGACTCTCACCTCCAGGGCTGAAAGCCTCGCTGTGCCCCACCACCGAGCTTCCTCTGCAGACTATCGTGTGTCACCCAGTGTCTTGTTTCCATCCTACGTCTTTGAGGAGTTTCAAATGAACAGGAAATATTTCCAAACCTCGATTTGAAAGGCAAAAGGCCCAGATCTACAGGATTCAGGAAATGGGTTAGAAGGTTAGGGCAGCGAGGCAAAGGCTGGGGACACTACACTTTGTGTGTGCTTCCCAAGGAGGAGGAAGGGTCTTCTGCAGGACGTCAGCTGCAAGCAGGCTGGCAGTGGCAGGGGTGCTGGTCAGTAAGAGCTGTGTGCCCTCTTCCCTCCTAAGTCATTTCCTAGGCCTGCCATAACAGAGGACAACAGGGCAGCGATGTATTTTCTCATTGTTCTGAGGCGAGCAGTCCCAGCTCAGGTGTCCTGAGTTTATTCTGCTGTCTTCCTTTGTCTACAAAGGAGATTACTCCACGACAGAGGAACCACAGGAAGGGAAGTTTAGGAGACAGCTGTAGAAGTTAAGCCACATTCAGGAAACCACTTCCAGCTGGGGATGGTGGAGAGGCATTGCTGGTAGGCATCACCTCCAGGGCAAGGCAGCCAGCAAGGACCACGGGAGACAGAACACTGCGGGAGACAGGCAACCAGTTGAAATGACCGTGAAGTTCCCCCGGAGTCTTCTGCTCAGGACCCCAAGGCATTGTGTGTCCAAATGTTGTCTTGAGCCTTCACGTAAAGCAGAGACCTGACTAATTGTATTTCCCACCCTCTCCCTTCCTCTCCACCCACCACCTCTCTGGCCTCTGGCTCCCTGCGATCCCTCACACCTAAAGCTGCTCCTGCCCCCTGGGCTTTGAGGGGCAGCGGTGTGAAATCAACCCAGATGACTGCGAGGACAATGACTGTGAAAACAATGCTACTTGTGTGGATGGGATCAACAACTACGTGTGTGTGTGCCCACCTAACTACACAGGTGAGGGTCTAGGGGAGCACCAGCCTGTGCTTGTGGGATGGGGGGAAGAAGTCACTAGAAAAATCGTATTTTTTTTTATGGTATCCTTAAAGGAGGAGGGACCCCACCCTCCTTCTCTCTGTGGACAAAGCTGAGATCCCAAGACCATGATAGGCCATAAGGGACTCCTCCGAAACCCTAGATTGGCTCATCCATCTCCTGCACCCCCACTCCCACCCCCAGCAGGTCTCCAGCTCCTTCCCACTTTGAAACAGGTTTCCAGGGCCCTTCCAGCTTGTTTGCTCGTTCAGTATCTTTCAGGTTGGCCAGGAGGCACATGCATTGTGTGAGGTCTAGGCAACCATCTCTGAAAGTCTACATTTTCCAGACATTCTGCTAGGAGCTTGGGACATAAAATGAAGCAAGAGGAAGTTCCTTCTCATAAAAAGTTCATGGTCGAGTAGAAAGAGACACATGGGTTCAGTAGAATGAGAACATATCCTGTGTAAACCCAGGGAGTCGTGGGACACAAAGGAACATGTCGCAGCTGGAGAATGTGGGATGCCTCCTCACAGGAGGGATTATTTCTCAGGAATATCATTCTACCCACCCATCCCAAACAAAACACCTTTATTTCCCATAGTCGCCTCCCCTAACGAAGAGTGAAATATAGCATTAGAGTGTGAAGCAAATTCCATAGTTGGTGCAAACACAGCTTACTTTGTTGGGAGCAACCTAAAGTGGCATGCACCAGACTAGAATTCCACAAGTTCTGTGAATTCTTTCAGGAGGACTCTACATGGATGTTTTTTTTTAAAAAAAGCCTTGGAATTGCTGCATATAATAATAGCCCTCTTCTTAGAGCTTCTGATGTAAATTAGTATGTTGGACGTTCTGAAAATTCCTGCTTTGAAGGAACTGTTTAAGTTTGTTTAACCCAGCAGTTCCCAAACTTAGGTGATTTCAGACATTCGCTCTAACCCCACCATACAACACCATTACCACCTAGAGGTATTGTCTTATAAACACCATATTTGGGGGGCCAGGGATATAGCTTAGTGGTGCAAGCGCTGGCCTAGCAAGCACAAGTCCTGAGTTTGATTCCCAGTACCAAAAGTAAATAAATAAACAAACAAACCATATTTTGAAATACTGGCCTAAGGCAAGAAGGAAATGAGAATAGTACAACTCAGGGAATAGTACAACTTGGCAGACTGCCAAGCCCTTGCCCACCAGAACCTGGTTTTATGTCAAGAATGAAATGGGAAATGGGACAATTCAGGTGATGAATATGAGTAGAAGTAATCCTCAGGACTGCAGCAAAGGGAACTGAGAAGGAAGCCAGGAAGCTACCTCAGAACCTTTGCTCTGAAGTCTCCACCCCTATACCCATGCACTGCCAAGCACACCCGTGGAACTGATGGCATGTTTCAAGGCCTACTGGGAAAAACCACCCATCATATTGGTCCTGAGCTTCCTGGCTCAGCAAGGCTTTGTGCTGGGAGAATGTACAGGCAAATCTCCCTTCTGTCCAAATCTTTCCATCTTCTGGGAGGAGTTGTAACCACAAGTTGCATTAGCAACAGGCAACACTTACTGTGTACCTACTATATACGTAGCTACTACAGACACCAAGAAATCTCAAGCATAGTCTCGCCCACAAGGTGCTTCTGGTCTACCTAAGAGGAAGCACTGGATAAGATTAAGTCATTGTTCCATGAACAGAGGTGCTCAAGATGAGCTCTGTGTGTGCCAGAGAAGGGGCCTGGACTGAGTTCACAGGAGGCAGCTGGGCAGTGGAAGGGAAGCTGAGAAGACATGGCCCCTGTCTCAGTGGGACCCACCCGTTATCTGCAGGTGACCAAGCTGCTCTTGGGATTGCAGTCTGTTGTAATGTGTGCCTACGAGTGAGCCATTGTGGTTTCTCTATCCCCAAAAACATCCTACAGTGGTACTCGTCTGCTTATTTGGGTCCTCTAGGTGACAAGGAAGAGAGGAAGGCCGAACACAGTGGCCTCCATGGTTCTGAGTGGATAATGTGCAGGGGAGTGATTGAAGGACCCTCCTCAGGACAAAAAAGGAGCCAGCTTGTCCCCACCACAGCAGGGATCAGGCTGTCATTCATCCACTTCCCAGCCATCCCCCAGGATCTCCTTCCCTGTGCCCTGGGATCAGTGGCCCAGGCAGCCTCCTCTCACCCCGTTCTCACCCCCAGTTCTGGAGAGAACTTCCGTGGTCAGAAGTTGCCCTCTTAGATCACTCTCTGCTTGATTCAGCTGGGTGGAATTTGAGCAACCCAAAAGTCAGACCTTAAAATCCTGCACTGTTTGGGAGATGCTCTCGTGTCTTCCACACGCTGCCCTCTGCATCCCTAAAACACATACTCAGTGGTGTGAGCTTATAGGGGCTCATAAGTAGGGGCCATCCTGGGTATTTATGACCCATAGGCATTTTGCAGCACTGGAAACTTCAAAGGCAGCATATCCAGAGACTTCAAATGCCTTTCATATTTCCTTCCCTAAAAAACCCAAAGGGCTTCCTTATCCATTGCAGTTGAGCAAGACCGCTTGGCCAGATCCGCTTTTCCAAGCAGCCCCATCTGACCTCCTAGGCAAGGTTGTGAGTCTGCTTTGTGCTTCCACAGAGTTTACCCCTGTGATGGCACTCACAGCAGGGGACTATAATTGCCTGCCTGTACATCTCCCCTACTAAGCCATGGGGGAGGACAGGACTGGGTCACATCTACATGAAAGATGCTCAGTAAGTTGATGGGGAACAAAAAATGAATAAGCATTCAGGTCAGGGTCTTGGGCTATGGTATCAGCCCCTGCATGATCGAATAAAACAGCCAAATGATGTTGCCAAGACTTTGGCCAGGAGAGACCCTGGGATCCTCCCATTGCTATTGCGAGGGAAAATAAGGCAGAGGTACAGAAGCAGGGATACCCCAAGAGAAGTATGCAGGGCTCTTGATATCCATGATCTCATGACCAGGGGTGAGAGAAGTCTGACCTTCTTACCTGGGGACCCCTCCTTCCTGAGTTGTTTCCCTACTCCTGCCAGGTGAGCTGTGTGATGAGGTGATTGACCACTGCGTGCCTGAGGTGAACCTCTGTCAACATGAGGCCAAGTGCATCTCCCTGGACAAAGGATTCAGGTAAGGCATGGCTACACTGCCCCAGCACAGGGCCCTGTCAACGCTGCCTCCCACAGTCTGGATTTGAACCTTTGGGATGGCTGGTTCACTCTATGTCTCTTCCCTTTCCAAAGCTAAGTAAGTGCAGCCATCCTACAGACATACTTGGTCCCCTTCCCAGTGTGCGGCCTTCACAGGGCTCTGCAGAGCAGGCTTGTGCTCGCGTCAGCAGCACATACACAAATCACAGCAGGCTAGACTGGCAAGCTAGTGCTTCGGGCATGCCTAGAAAAGGACAGTGAATGGGGACTCTGAGCAGTAAAGAATGAGTGCTGGCGGAGAGATGGGTGGCTTTCTAGGCCTAAGGGACAGACAGCAAGCTCTGAGGATGCTTTCTCAAGAGGGCATGGAGATTGGGCACAGGTGGGTCAGGTACAGGTTCAGAGTAGGAATGCTAGGGAATTACAGCTGCCAGATTATCATGATCCTTTAATACTTGATCCTAGAAATCTCACTCTCTTTTGTAACCAAGACCCCCTGAGTTGTAGAACAATATAGGAAAGAAAGAAGCCAGTCAAGTTTTTGTAATCTTAGATATTTTCTCTGTACACAATGTGTCTTAGAAGCTACTATCTTGAGATCTACTAAACAGCTCAATAATGTTAATTTTTTATTCAAATACATTTAAGTCCGTGCTTCTCCCAGTCCACATTTTATCTCTCTCTCCTCCCATCATCAGACAACTATCCCAGTCACCATGATGTTTGCTTTTGTTATTTTCCTAGAGGAATATTAATAAGAGAGACGCAGTCAGCGTGACCTTTGGCTAGGTATAAAGACATTTGCCCTTGGAGATCCCCTGTATACTCTTCCAATGCGCTTTCACTGGAGGGTAGATAGTATCTGACCATAACGCTGAAAATAACAACAAACCAAAGACCGTGGTGACTAGCCTGTGCCAAGAAGTTGTCCCGTGCAAGTCTGCTGGCCAGATACATCTAAGTGATGGGTCAGGTCTTAGCAGATTTTGCCATTTTTGAGCACAGGCTTAGTCGGTCCTTGGATTCTGGAGCTATTCCCTTCAAAGACATAACACCCCTTCCATGTCTGTCCTTGCCATGAAATCTGCACTTTGCACCACGTTCTTCTGACCCCAGCAATGCCGGGTCCATCCCACCTCCATCCATTGCTCAAGAGGAGAAGTGAAGTGAGGGGAAGAAGGACCAGCCTCTACTCGATCCTTCCCCGTTCAGGCTCCTTGTGGGATAGTTTAAGTATTCAGTGTTCCTGCTTGCCCCTCCACCACCCTCCCCATATCAACTCTGTCCCACCCCTTAGATAGGTTGTGGTCACTATTTTTATTCTGCCCATCAGAATTCAGCTGTTAGAAAAGTGCAACAGCTTTGCAAGAGACAGAGAAGCTGGTATGCACCGTGTGTACCTTCAGGTGCACCGAAGTCCCAGACCTTGGTGCCGTTGGTCTGTTTCCATGGTGAGGTTTTAGTTTAGTGTTTGTTACCCTAGACAGAAAAACTCAGAGATGCATATTCGGGGAGCCCTACAGCCTGCCAGAGCGGCTTTTCTTCCCTCTAGATTTCCAGCCTGGGCTGGCAGAGATGGCAGTGGAGCTCCCAACACACTGCTTTTTAGGGAAGGACTGGATCCCTGTGCAGAGCGGGGGTGGGGCCATAGCTCCCGTCTCCTCCCCTGGGAAATATGTACAAGCCAAGTTATTAAAGGAGAAGAGGGGCTGGGGATTTAGCTCAGCAGCACAGTGCCTGCCTGGCAAGCGTGAGGTCATGAGTTTGATTCCCGGTACCAGAAAAAAAACACCCAAAAAATAAAGAAAGAAAGAGAGAAGAGATTTTGCTCTTCTTTTCTTAGTTCAAATATCTAAAAAGGGTGAACAAGCAACAAAACAAAATCAGGAGAAATGCAAAGAGCATCGTTTTCATCTTCATCATCATTCCCATCATCTCCATATCAAATTGACTGTTTGCTCAACGTTCAGTGCACTCCACAGAGTCTGTCATTCAATTTTTTAAAGCAACCACAAGAGGCAGAGTTATTTATTGTCAACTACATTTAGGGAAAGAAAATGAGAGACTCAGAGGGGCTGGGATTTAGCTCAGCGGCATAGCGCCTGCCTGGCAAGCGCGCGGTCGTGAGTTTGATTCCCGGTACCGGAAAAAAACCAAAAAATTAAAAAATAAATGAGAGACTCGGACGTAATAAGTGGTTGATACACTTAGAACAGCACCTGGCACCTAGCAAGTACAAAGTATCAATAAATGGGGTCCACAAAGAAGTGATTTTGGTACTGTCTAAACTCTGGTTTCTTCCTGATGCTAGGCTCTCCCTTGCAGGGTTCTGGGAGAGCTCAGTGAGCCATTCCATCAAAGGTGCTTAGCATGGTGCCTGGCACAGTGGAAGGATACATCTGAATGTCCGCTCTAGGTAGAAGGTGGCAGGTCCAAGCCAAAAGCTGAGTGATTCCACCCTGTGCACCTCAGTCTGGCTCCTAAAAGCAAGACCTGCCCCTACATGAAGCAGAGAGACCTTGACTCAGGGAACAAAGGCTATGGGCCGAATCACAGAGCCAGACCTGATGGACCTATAGGAACTGGAGTGCATAGAGAAAGAGAGGGACTCCCGGTGACGGAATGCATGAGAGCTCCTGCCAGGAAGCAGGCCTGGCCCTGAGGAATAGCTGCCTGTGTTCCAGGTGTGACTGTGTCCCTGGCTACAGCGGGAAGCTCTGCGAGACAGACAAGGATGACTGCGTGACTCACAAGTGCCGCCATGGGGCCCAGTGTGTGGACGCGGTCAATGGCTACACGTGCATCTGCCCCCAGGGCTTCAGGTACAGCAGAGGGCACTTTGGGAGGGGGACAGTCTGGACCACCATGGCAGGGGGTGGAGACTGAAGCCCAGTCAGCCCTATAGCTATTCAGGGCAGCTCCATGCATATGTTATGCTTGAGCCTGATTCCCTCTAATGAAAGGTGGCACCACCTTGGAGCCCAGCTTATAGGGTGGGGTCACCTCAGGCCCATGAGGGCCAGAATCTTTCTTCTAGCTGGAGAACAAAAATATGGTATCCCAGTAGCAGAACAAGAGGTCAGGGCTGGGTGTGGCTTAGTGTAGAGGGAATGCTGAGCATGCACAAGGCCCTATGTTCAATCTGCAGTACCACAAAAGAGAGAGGTGGGGGAGTAGAAAGAGAGAGAGGAGAAGAAGAAGAGGGGAGGAGTAAAAAGGAAAAAGAGAGGACAGAAAGAGAAGGGTGGGAGGAGTGGAAGAGAGGAGAGGGAGTAGGAGAAAGAGGAAGGGAGAGAAGGGGAGGAAGAAAGAGAGGGAAAGAAGCAAAGAGAAAAGAGAGAAAATGGTGCCAGATGTGGTGGGGCACACCTGTAATCCCAGCACTTGGGAGGCTGAGGTAGGAGGATTGTTGTGAGTTCAAGACCAGCCTGGGCTACAAAGTGAGCTCAAGCCCAGCCTGAACTGCACAGCAAGACCCTGTCTCAAAAAGACAGACAGACCCTGGCTGTTGAATGAACTTGGTGTAGGTGTGGAGTCATTCCCATCTCAGTAATAAAGCTGTTTTCTCAAAAAAAAAAAAAAAAAAAAAAAAAAAAAAAAAAAAAGACAGACAGAGACAGAGACAGAGAGGGGGAGAGAGAGAGAGAGAGAGAGAGAGAGAGAGATGACTAGGGAGATTTGGGCTCAGTCTCTGGAACCAGTGAAACCAGGAGAAAAAAAAAATGAGAGGCTCCCACCGGTGCTGGATGTGTGCAGGGCGTGTGGAAGAAGCCCAGGTTCCTGGTGTAGCTCTTAACACTGCTTGGGAGGGGCAGCAGGCATTTCGGGGAGGCAGGGGCCACACTCATGGGGGCTTAGCCTGGGGTACCGTGCCATATACACCAGTATTCACTAGATGGCATAAATGCAGAATATGCAACTTACAAGTCTGTGAGCCTGGAAAGAGCCATGGCGTTCTCAAGACCAGTGTTTCTCAGAGCTCAGCTGAGATCATCTGCATCAGAGGCGGATGAAGATAAGAATTCCTGAGCCCCGTCCAAGAGCTACCGAATTATACTTCGGGGATGGCAAAAAAGGCGGCCCGGAGTTTACACTTTTTTAAAAATTATGATAAAATATGCATAACAAAATTTACCATCTTAACTGCTTTGAAAGGTGTAGTTCCATGGAGTTACAGATGCAACCGTCACCCACCAGAACTTCTGCATCTTGCTTAACAGAAACTCTTACCATTCAACAGCTCTGTGCCCTCGTGAAGCCTCTGGTGATCCAGGTGCCTCATTTAAATGGGATCGCAGTGTTGTCCTCTGTGGCTTCTTTCCCTTAGCATAATGTTCTCAAGGTCCCTGTGTGTTGTCACATTCGTCAGAATTTCCTTCTTTTGAAGGGTGAACAGCGTCCCATTGGCTGGCTAGGCCACACTTTGTTTATCCATCCATCTGTTCAGGAATGAGAATCTCTTTCAACAAATTCACCCCAGGTGATTCTGATGACACTCAAATTTGGGGACCTGAACTCTCATCTGATGCAGTTATTTTTTAAAAATTGAGGAACTGGGATTAAAGGAAGGAAGGACTTGCCCTGGTTAGTGGCAGGGCTGGTACTAGACCCTGGAACTAGTCTCGTGTCCCATCTCACACCACCCTGCTGTAGGAGGTTCTTTGTAAATGAACCACGGGAAGCACCTCTTCCCATCCCCACCCATGCTCCTCTGCCTCCTTCCAGTGGGGTCTTCTGCGAGCACCCCCCACCCATGGTCCTGCTGCAGACCAGCCCTTGTGACCAGTACGAGTGCCAGAACGGGGCACAGTGCATCGTGGTGCAGCAGGAACCCACCTGCCGCTGCCCCCCGGGCTTCGCCGGCCCCAGGTGCGAGAAGCTCATCACGGTCAACTTCGTGGGCAAAGACTCCTACGTGGAACTGGCCTCTGCCAAGGTCCGGCCCCAGGCCAACATCTCCCTGCAGGTACGGCTGTCTCACCTGCCCTTGCAAGGGCCCTTGTATGCCAAGTTCTGATTGTTCAGGAAAAAGCTGGGTATCCCAGACCGGAGCAGTCCTGCCCTTCACCTCCCCCCATATATCATCAAGGTCAACACTTGGCTTCAGGGAAGCTGGACCAGGGCTGTCCAGAGACATCTAGAGATACCCCGGGCCAGTACACCGCACACAGTAGCCCCATTCTAGTCACCTTCACTGATGCCTCCAGAAAATACTTGTTCTGCTGTTATATGCCACGCACAACGCTGGGAAGTGGGGATTCGATGGTAAACGAGATGCACAAAGCACTTTGATGATCCAACACAGCAAGGAAAGTGACAGTGATGTCTGGGGCACCGTGGGAGTACATAGTAGGGCCGTAGCCTTCACTTGCTGAAGAGCAAGGAAAGGCTCTCAGAGGTGGGAATACGTAGGCTTAGTGCTGAAGCATGAGTAGTTTATCTGACAAACAGAAGGATAGGAACTGGGTGAAGGACAGAGGCTGGGAGAATCCAGCTGAGAAATCAGCATGTGCAAAGGCCCAGAAGCACAAACAAGCAGCACATTTTGGGGGAATGGAAAACCACTTAGTATGGGCCAAGTTTTTTTTTTCTAAATAAGTTTTTTCAGGTTCCTTGCCTTTGGACAGAGCACATTTATTCCAAACTGTATTTTTGGTGAACCTCAGTGTTGTTCCAGGGATGAAGGTGGGCAGAGAAGGATTATGCTAGACAAAGAATGGGTCCCTAACTACAGGATGGTTCTGAGGAGCAGCCTGCCAACCATTAATGGCCCCTGCCACTTGGGGGTGGGTGCTCCGGACACTAGCTCCACCTCTTCCCTCCTTTTGCTGATGGCCACATTCACCCTGGCTTAACCTGGAGTGTATGAGGGAAACGCTCATTCAATAAACACCTACCAGACAGGCAGCATTCTAGGCCCTGGAGGTGCAGGAAAAGTTCACACTGCCTCCCATCATGGAGCTTACAGCCAATGGACAGGCCCCTGAGGGGAGGGTTGATGCTGGGCACAAGCAGAAAGGAAGGAATTTCTGGTCACTGCCACCACCCCCTTTAGCCCTCCTCCCTCAGGCACATGACATTGGGTCCCCACTGGCCAGGGCAGCACCCAGTGTCCCACACATCCAGGTGTCCTCTCACACTTACCTATTGCACATCCCACTCCTGAGGCCAGGCTGGTGCCAGGCAGTGGGAACCCACAGACCTAACAGAGACTCATCCCTGCTGCCCCTGTGGGAGTGGCTTCTGGAGCTGGTGCTCTCAGCCTGGGCAGACCTTAGCATGGCCTGGAGAGCTTTTAAAGTGTGTTTCCCTGAGCCGCAGCCCAGAGGGACTCAGAGAGACTCGCTGAAGCCCAGACACCTGTGTTTTTAAAAGTCCCGCGGTGACTGTTAGCACAGGGCGTGATCCCTGGTATACACCGAAGTGCGAGGCAGTTGTTGACCTTGCATTTCTATTATTGTTATACTTCATGGGAGGAGACTGAGGCCTCCAAAGGGGCAGGCCCTTTGGTGGGGCCATTTCACAGCCCAGAGGGAGAAGACAGAGCTCGGGCCTCCTGACAAACACAAACACAGTCACCATCCATATCCACAGGTTCGAGATCCACAGATTCAAGCAACCTCAGATTGAGAATATTTGGGAAAAGGAAAAAAAACTGGCAGTGTTACTGCACATAGAGAGATTTTTTTCCTTGTTATTATCCCCTAAATGATACAGTTTAACACAACTATTTACATTTACATAGCATTTATATTGAGTTAGGTATTATCAGTAATTTAGAGATAAAGTATAAGCGAGGATATGCATGCTATATGCAATTTTATACGCAAATATTGTCATTTTATATAAGGGATTTCAGCATCATCAGAATTTTGGTATCCTCAAGGGGTCCCAAACCAACCCTCTGCAAATACCAAGAGAGAGCTGTATGTGAGCACAGTGGTGCACCGTAGGCAGTTAATAACTGTTCGTTGAAGTAAGTCCATGGCTTAGCCAGCATTTGCTGAAGTATAAGTACAGATCTTGCCTTCTGGGAATTTATAGACTAGAGGGAGGAGCAAAGATGGACATGAATTCAGATCTGGGCTGTGGACATAGCAGCCACCTGGGAGAAGGTGCTATGAGACAGGTCCTGGGGGCTTGGGCCTCAGCTAAGCACTAACCCCCATGCCCTGGCTGCTCTCCAGGTGGCCACTGACAAGGACAATGGCATCCTTCTGTACAAGGGAGACAACGACCCCCTGGCACTGGAGCTGTACCAGGGCCATGTAAGGCTCGTCTACGACAGCTTGAGCTCCCCTCCAACCACAGTGTACAGGTAAGGGCCACACGCACTCAGCCACTGCACTTGCTTCTGCAGAGAAGACACTGGGTGAGTCTAATGTGTCCTCCCTCTTCCTACGTACACACACACTCACTCACAGAATGGCAGGTAGGAGGGAAGGGGGCTGTATTGGGGACAGAGGCAGGAGAGGAAGGCAGGCCCATGCAGGGAGATGACACCTCATTACCATAAGATAAATGACCAACGGGCTACTGTGTGTGGAGCCAGGTGCTCCAATAGGGCAAGGCTGCTTAATGAGATGCCCTTTTCAAAATGTCATCCTAATCTTTTATTAGTTTAAGAAAGAAAATAGGACGATTAACATGCAACTCAAGGGAGAGAAATTCAAGAGCATACAAGGGATAGACTATTGCTTAAGTGACTTTCAAACAGTTCTAAAGGACAATTTTTCCTAAACTTCAGTCTTTTCAACAGTCACTTGATGCATTAGTTGGCTTCTCATTACGGTGAACAAAATTCCTGAGATAATCAAGCTATAAAGAGGAAAGGTTCATTTTGGCTTACAGTTTTGGAGGTTTCAGTCCATGGTTACTTAGCCCCATCACTTTAGACTTGTGCTAAGACAACACACCATGGCAAGGAGCACATGAAGGAGCAAACTGCTAGCCTCATAAAAGCAAAAAAGAGGCCGTGGAAGGGACTAGGGTTCCACTGTCCCTTTCAGTGGTGCACACCTAGTGACTGAAAGACCTGCCTGCCACACGCCCCCATTCTAAAGGTTCCACCACCTCCCAGTAATTAAATAGGCTGGGACCCAAGTCTTCAACATGGATTGAAACTACAGCACCCTGATTTTCACATTATCTACATAACAGTTATACAATTACTTCATAAGCCACCTTATGTCAACTTTCAAACTGCTCATTTTTTTTTTTTCAGTACCAGGAATCGAACTCATAACCTTGTGCTTGCCAGGCAGGCGCTGTGCCGCTGAGCTAAATCCCCAGCCCCTAAATTGCTCATTTTTAAAATTCACCATCATATTACTGTCTGAGAAATCAAAATTGTTAAATATGTTAATCACAATATTAAATATTTTCCTACTTGTCAGTAAAATGTGTATGGATCGAGCATCCCTAATCTGAAATCTGAAGTTCTCCAAAATCTGAAACTTTCTGAGAACCAACATGACATGCAAACTTTTCAGATTTTAGAGTATTTTGGGATAGGGATACTCAACTGGTAAAGTCTATGCAAATATCCCAAAATCTGAAACTACAAAATCTGATGTACTTCTGGCCCTAAGCATTTCAGATAAGGGATGCTCACCTTGTTCTAAACAACTATTAAAATAAAAAATTATTATAAACATATTCATAATATTTTAAATAATAATTACTAGAACTTTTAAGTGGCTATGTTACCCTTAAAATCATGTAAAACCAGAAGGAGATCCAAACTCAGAGAAGCCGTAGTGCCAAAGACAGGCCATATTCTACTTTGGGAAGCAAGAGCATATTTCCTTGGGATTAGTAAAGAGCAACAATTTTGGACATTTATAACTGAATTTCTCTTCAGTTGAAACTTTAAGTTGAACTCAAGTATATCACATGCATAGACACAGACCACCCCAGTCCACCCTGAAAGATTACAAGGGGAAAGTTCCCTCCTTCACACATACTATCATCAAGCCCCCTAATTCTCCTCCAACAAACCCACTTTGAAAACCATTGTTTAAAACCAGTGGCTTGGGAAGCGGGATGTGACTCAATGGTAGAGCACTTGCCTAGCTTGCATGAGGCCCTGGTTTCTATCCCCACCACCAGAAAAAAAGCAGTGGCTCTCAGAGTGTGGTCCCTGAGGCAGCAGCGTAGAAATGCACATTTTCAGACCCTACCCTGGGACTACTGAATCCAAAGCTTGGAGTTGGCCCCAACAGATCTGTGTTTTAAGGAATCTTTTGATACATAAGTTTCAGTTTACATCTGAAAACAACAGGAGAAGGGGCAATTTGAGTTGGATCCTGAAGAAAGGGAAGAGATGAACAAGCGAACAGATGGGCCAGCTGGTCCAGGACAGCAACAAAGACAAGATAAGGAAAAATGACAAGGGCCCTTGCCAGAGCAGAAGGCTCATCATGGAAAGTGAGGAGTGACAAGACCAGCCTAGTTAGGGACATCTGGGTACAGCAAACACCAGGAGGAAGAGCTTACCCAGTGGCTTCTGCGCATCCTGGAGACGGGGCCACTTAACATCTGTGTTCCTGAAACCCGTGGGCCAAGTGGAGAGGACAGAGAGCCAAAGAGACCAGGCCAGGTGTAGCCTGACAAACCATAAGCCTGGCAAGAAGTATCTGGTATCACAATGACTTGCATTTAAACAAGTGACTCTATCTCTTGCCTTAGTTGCCTCCGGATATACTGTGGACAATTTCAGGAGATGGCTCCTGGGCTGGTGTTCAAGGTTGAGAGAGTGCTTGGCAAACTTGAGTAGTGATAGGATCCTGGAAAGGAGAGGAGGTGGAAACCAGGCTTTCAGGAGTAGCCAGGCAGTGTCCAAAGCTTAGGGCTATCCCCAAGCAGTCCAGCATCGTCTGGCCCCGCTAGTGACTGTTAGGGAGAATGGCTTGGTAAAGGATGATGTTGGTAGTAGGAATGTAGAATCACTACACTGAATTTTGAGACAGGAAAACAGAATTGCCACCTCCCAAAGCTCCCATTAGACAGTCATGAAGTTCAGGAAGTGGCCCTGGAAGACACCAAACTCTTGGTTCAATCCATGGGAGGAACTGAGTCACACCTGTCCAGGTAAGGCTGACTTGGATTCTCATGCCAAGGCTGGTGACAGATCTTTAGCGTCCTTCAACTCATGATCACAAGGAGCCCCAGACTCCAGAAATCCCATGTTAAAAATGGTTTTACTTCCCAATACATTACTCTGAGCCAATTCTGTTTTTGCCCTACAGGTTGAATATCTTTTACTCAAAATGCTTCAGACTAGAAGTGTGTTTGATTTCAAATGTTTTCATATTTTGGAATATTTGCATATACATACTTGAGGATGGGATCCAAATCTAAACGTGAAATTCACTTGTGTTTCATATAAATCAAATACACAGCCTGAAGGGAATTTTATACACTCTTTTTACTGTGCCTGTGCTTTCACTGTGACTCATTCCATGAGGTCAGGTATGGAATTTTTTGCTTGTGACATACTGGTGTTCAAATTTTTTCAGACTTTGGAGTATTTTGGAGCTCATATTTTCAGATTAGAGGAGTTTATCCTGTAGTACTCTCTTCAACTCACTGATTTGGTAAACACCCCTCAGGAACCTTGCTTGGACCAGGGCTGGGCCAGATATAGGAAACACGGGATTAAACACACACAGGCCAGGGGAAAAGACACACACGTGAACCAGCAGTTTCAGAATCAAACACATCCCAGTGGAGACACCGGCATCACGCTGTGAGGACACTTCTGAAAAAAGTGCAAATGTTTTTGCATGGAGAACTGGGAAAGGGTCCCTAGAAGAGATAATGTTTGTGGTGGGGGCTGCCTCATGCTGAGAAGCATTTCCAGTCTAAAAAGGGGAGAGCCCTGGGGGGCGGGGAGGTACCTCATCAGTAGAAGTTGTGCTGGAAGAGCCTCGAGTTAGTGAAGGGCACAGGCTGAGAGGTCTTCTCTTTAGAGTCACTTCACTGGCCCCCTTGCAACCCCGGAAGGCAAGCTCAGCCTTGGGGTGAGAACCAGAAAGCCAAGCCAGAGCTGACTATCAGGGAAGCCTGCAGACTTCCGCTCACTGAGGACCCCACGGACAGCCCTGTGGTAGGATGAGCAGCCAGAGCCCCTGCAGGATTTAAGTTCTGGAGCAACTGGGCCCCAGGGTCTTCCTTCTGCTGACACCTTTGTTCAGCTGCTCAGCCATGGTAATGAGAGGTGGCAAAGGCACATCAAGATTCTATCAGGTCCCCAGGGAAATACACAGAAAGGCCCCGAGCCCTGCCCTGCCTCATAATGGAACGGGCTACTCTAATCTTCAGTACCAAGGCTTGTGCGAAAGCAAATTCACCAGCCTTCAAAGCCAAGGGACCAAGCAAGTAAAAGTCATGGGGCAGGGGGCGATGTGTGCCTTAGGAGCACTGGAGACTAGGTAGTGCGAAGGGTACCAGCCACATAGAAAGGGGCAGCTGACCTCAGCTCCAGCAGGTGCTGCCATGGGGGAATACAGATTATTAAGAGAAGCTGAGAAGGCCGCTTTCTGTGTGAAATATCCCAGTTTTAAAATGTCTGGCATTTTAAAACAGCAGGCAAGCTCTACCTGGCACAGGGCATGTTCCTGGGGTCTTAATTACCACAATTGCATTTACTGCCAAGATCTTTGTCTCATCTGAGCCTGAGCACAAGCCCCACGCAAGCAGCATCCCTCCTCTTTGAGGGATAAGAAGTCTGATATTCAGAGGAAGCTACTAAGAGGCAGAGTTGGGGTTTAAACCCAGGTCAGGCTTCCACCAAAATGTGCTCTGCCAGCTCGCCCACCCTGCCCCCAGGGCACCACTCCTGGCCGGCTGCAAGCCTAGAGGAGAGAACACTAGGGTGCAGGAGGCAAGCTGCTGTCCAAGTAAATGCAGGCACTTTTTGTTCTTATGGGGCTTTACCACCACCTATTGGTCACATTTGGCATCCGGGTGAGAACTGCCAGCACCTGGAGGAATGACCAGGGCACCTCATAATCCCCCTTTTTGAACCATGGCGTAGGGTCCTGTGGACCATTTCCACTGTGAGACTGCACTGGGCACTTTAAGTCTCTTGTTTCCAAATAGCAAAAGAACTGTGCCTCCCTCCTGGGGGTGTTAAGGTTAAATGAGAGAAGTGAGGTACCTTTGGTACCTTTGCATAGAGCTCCTGGCCCTTCCCAAGTGCTCAACGCTTGTTTACCCACCATGGTTATTAAAAGCAGAAGAGAAGTTAATGACCAACGTGACCAGAACACGTGTTTATGGCCGTGCCAGGCAGGCGCCATCCAGCCAGCTCTGCCACCTTCCATGCTGTCTCCCTCCCACCCCATGCTGCCTCAGTCTGACCGCTAGTTAATGAGAAACCCTCTCAGGTCATCCCGCTTTCCCCTGAAATCCCTAAATATCTCTCCAGGAGACTAGTTTCTGGAGCTTGGCACTATACTATGACCATTTCTTTTAAGGCAAACAGCAGCATTTCATTTGTTTTTTTCTCTTGTTTTATAGTGGTAGAGTCATTCTTCCCACTGGTATTTTACTTCAGAGGCCCAGACATTTTTTTAAGGCGAGTAGAAATGGAGCCATCCTGATCTGGAGATGGTGGTAATCAGACCTTTCAGCACTGCCCACCCTAAACCTCCAGGGATCCAGCATGTGAAAAGCACTGGCTTTAGGCACTGTTTCCAAGAAACTGGTTCAGATGAACCAGGAACAAAGTGACCCACGAACCCATGACTGACTGGCACCTGCAAGGTTATGGAGGTCAGGATTTGAAATCCATCTTGACTTTGAACCTCAATTCCATCACTTCCAAGCACCCTGTTCTTGGTCAAGTTCTGTACTTTGCCTTCCTGTAGCATGGGGCTCCCAAGGGTACACTCCTTAGAGATGGTAACAAGCCAGGGAAAATACGCAGAAACTCAAAGCTCTGAGCAGCTGTAATCTTGAGGAATCAGGAGACAGGCTGTACTATAGTCAAATGACTTACTTTACCAGCCCAGGCCCCAGACTGAGAGAGAAGGGGCTGCCTCCTGGCTTGCTGCCCTCAGAGGCCCTGGGCTGGCTGGGGAGCTCAGGAGGCAGAGAACAGAGCCAGTAGCTGGAAGGTTCTGGTGTGCTCACTGTATTTGTGTGCATCCAAAATGGGAACAGCTGCCCCTCCTCCCTAAACCTTCAGGCTGGGAGTGTCCAAACCACCCAGACCTGCAGCCCCTTTCAGGGCCAGCAGCCACCCAGCATTCATTACACACATTTGGGCCGGGGAGCTGGATCCCCAAATTCCATATGTTGAAGGTTTGACTGTTCCCCTGTGTTGCCACTGGGAGGTGATGGAACTTCAAGGGAGTGGAGCCTGGAGAGAGAAGTTAGGCCACTGGGGCATGCCTTTGAAGGGCATACTGGGCACTGGCCCCTTCTCTCGTGTGTTTCGCTTCCTGGTTGTGACGAGGTGAAAAGGCCTCCTCTGCCACACGCTCCCACCATGATATGCCGTGCCACTATAGACCTAAAACAACAGGGCCAAGTGGCCATGGACTAACCTCTCAAAACTGTGAACCAGAACAAACCTTTCTTCCTTTATTGGTTTTTAATTTTAGTCTCGTTACAAGTTCGATCTCTGGTATATACTAGTTGGGTGACCTCAGACAAAGCACCTAACCTCTCTGGGCATCAGTGTCTTTGTCTGTGAAATGGGACCTCTGGTATCTAGAGCAATCCCATTTCATAGAGTTATGACAGTCAAATATGTGACCCAGTTAGCATCCTGCTTGGGCCATCATACACTCTTGGAGTGGCTGCTGGGACCGGCAGAGGCACCATGAGAAAGGGGCGTATACCCTGGTTCAAACCTTTGCTCTGTCATGTATTAGCTATGAAGTCTTGGGGAAACTGTATAATTTCCCAGAGCTTCCATCACCTCATTTCTGTAATGGGAACAACAAACTTGCTTGGCAGGAGTGTTGTAAGGCATTACCCCCCAAATGTGATACAACGTGCATCGGTGGCCCATGAGGGGAATTTAGGTGGGACAAAGACAAAATACTGGGATTTTACCTGACAGAATTTACTTCCGATGCACTAGGAAAAATTAAAAGCACACTAAAACATTTTTTAACTGTATCTCTAGAGCAATGCCAACCTTACATACTTACTGATACTCAAAGGGGATATGGGGTGATCAAACGGGAAATGCATGAAGTAAAGAATGTCCAGGTGATACACAGGTAGAACCACAGTTAAGAAAGTGATAGAAGGATAGATTACCTAGTGCTGTTAAATGACAGAAACCATGCAAATACATACTGATTACTAAATGCAGTACCAAATACTAGGCAGGATTTTGTAATAGAAGGAAAAAATACTACAAAAGGTATTATTGGGTCCACTGAAAAATCTGAACAGAAGATAGATGAAAGAATGGTATAAATATTAAAGTCACCTGATCTGTTCGCTATGTGGTATTTATTTGAGAGAATATCTCCATTTTTGTGAAATACACAGTGAGGTATCCTGGCATTAAGGACCACAATGTATTTATCTTATCTTTAAATGGTTCAGGAAATTTGTGTGTAGGGGGGATAAATGATAAGGCGAATGTGGATAATAGGAGAAACTAGGTTGTATTTTCTGTACTACATCTTTGCAATTTACGTAAGTTTGAAGTTGTTTCCAAATAAAAAGTAAAAGTTGGGTGTGGTGGCACATGCCTATAATCCAAGAACTTGGGAGGCTGAGGCAGGATTGCCTCCAGGTCAAGGCCAACCTGAACTACATAGTGAGACCCTGTCTCAAAAACAAACAGAAAGTAAAATGTAAGTGGTGCTGGACAAGTCAGCAGCCCAGTGGCTGGCCATGGAAGGCACTCAGGAAGACTGTTGGCTGTTTTCCTTCTTTCCTGCCCAGTGTGGAGACAGTAAATGATGGACAATTCCACAGTGTGGAGCTGGTGATGCTAAACCAGACCTTGAACCTGGTAGTGGATAAAGGAGCACCAAAGAGCCTTGGGAAGCTCCAGAAGCAGCCAGCAGTCGGCATCAACAGCCCCCTCTACCTTGGAGGTAACACTCCCCTCCTGAACCCCTGTCTGACCCCTCTCTGCTCCCCCTCTCAGCACCTGCACCCAGACCTACTACTAAGGGCTCCCTGCTCTCAGCTCAGCACCAACGGCCAGAGCCAATCAGGAGGAAGTAATGGCAAAGCTGATTCCGGAGAGGGTGAATAGGCATTAGCTAGCCCACAGAAACAAGAGTACTTGGGACACACGCTTGGAAAGGAAAGAGCAGGACTCTGTGGGAACTTCAGGGTGTGCAGAGAGGTGTTGAGGATGGGGGTAAGGTAAAGATGGGTTGGGGAGGGTGGGAAGAGAAGAAGCAAGAGACAGAAGCAGGCCTAGGCTCTAGACTGACGGCTTCAGCTCACGGTCCCTCTGCTCTCCCCGTCCCTGGACACTGCAAGGGTCAGTTGATGACTGGAGAAGCACAAGTTTGAGGTGAAGGTTGTAAAAGCCCCCCCTCAACAAAAAAAACCCAAGTTATTACCAGTCTAGTAGAGCCTGGGACTGAATTGCAGCCCCAGGCTGATGGTCCTCAAAGAGCTGTGTGCAGAAAAAGCCACCAGCATAGTTTGTTCAACACAGATGTCAGAGGCAACACCAAGAGATGCCCTCCAAGGGGCTGGCATAAAAGTCCATGAATCTGCACTGTCAGGCCAACCACCACCCAGATGCAGGAAAGCCAGGAAACGCACCTGGCCCAGAGCCAGCCCGGAAGGGGTGCAGTTTCTCCCAAGAGGAAGGCTGCTCCTCCCCGCCCCCAACCTGCTGCAGGTGTAGCCAGAGCAACCCGGCGTCCTCTGCCTCCGGCCTGCACACTGGCCTCAGGCTCTGTGTCTGAGGTGGGCAGCTAGAGGGGCAAAGATGAAACAAAACACAAGTCAGACTCGATTGGAAAGCAAATCAGGTCTCTACCAGCAGTAAAGATCCTGGAAAGAGAAGTACACAGCACAGAGGGCAGCAGTCCAAAACCTTGAACCCCAAAGTTCCACTAATAAAGATCGTTCCCCATACCACATCTTCTCCCCCAAACTTCAGCTTGTTTTCCCTGGGTTCTCTGGAACAAGGGGATGCCCAGGCTGGGAGAATGGCAGGGGAAGTTGCTGTAAAACCCACCCCAGGCCTGCGAGGGGTAGTGGTTGTCGGTGGAGACAGTGGGACCACATGGCAGGGGGTGACCAGACCCTCTCATTTTTTTCTAGGGAAGTACAAACTATAGACCTTTATGAGAAATTTCCTATACTTAAATAATAGCAATAAATTTAAATTTGTAAGTAGTCCTATTGCAGGACCAAGAATGCCTGTCCTTGTGTGGATAAGGCCCAAGTCTGGGGCCTTGATGTGAACACCAGAGGCCCCAGGCTCTACACCAACAAAGGCGAGCTCTCACCTGAGGAGTGCTGGGTGCTGGGTGTGGCAAACTGGGTGGGCAGGGGAGGACTTTCAGGCTGTCCTGGCCCCTCTCCCACAGGTATTCCCACCTCCACGGGCCTCTCTGCATTGCGCCAGGGCACCGACCGGCCACTGGGTGGATTCCACGGCTGCATCCATGAAGTGCGCATTAACAATGAGCTACAGGACTTCAAGGCCCTCCCGCCACAGTCCCTGGGGGTCTCTCCGGGCTGCAAGTCCTGCACTGTGTGCAAGCATGGCCTGTGCCGCTCAGTTGAGAAAGACAGTGTGGTATGTGAGTGCCACCCGGGCTGGACTGGCCCGCTGTGTGACCAGGAAGCCCGGGACCCCTGCTTCAGCCACAGGTCAGTGTCCTGCAAGACCCAGACTCCCTGCATACATGCTGTCCCTGCCCTCACCTGAGGAGGAGCACTGAGGGAGACAGGAATTGGGGTGATACTGAGGAAACTGCTGAAAAAGTTGAGAGGCTGAGCTTGTCACTCTGAGCAGCTGGTCTCGCTCAGAGACATCGCATGTACAGGCCTTGTCTTTGCCATGTGGCCTTAGAACCTGTCCAGGGCTGCCACAAGCCTCCAGGCCACCTCTGTGTGACTAAAGATGTCACTTTGGGGAGACAATGCCCACATGCACTTGGCATGGCAAGTAGAATGAGTGTGAATTCCAGTGCCTTGGCAGTAGCCCTGAGTGAGACGGCAGGGCTGCAGAAGCATGCACAGCTGAATTGTGTTTAATGGTTTAATCACTTATTATTCATTGAACAAATATATATGGAGGGCCTACTGTGTGCCGGGCCTCATGCTAAATATAAGAGATGCAGTATTCCTAATGTTAAGAAATCTAAATCAGCCAAAAATAACACGAGAGCCAAAACTGGTTATTTGGTTGGCTGAACAAGCTGGAAAATAATACTTTGGATCAGGAAGGAAGGAAAGCTGTACAGGGTCTGAGCCTCCTGTTGCTTCTGAGTATGTGTGACTCTAGAATTAATATGAATCCTAGCGCTGAATGTAGGGCTATTTTCAGATCTTGGAATTCCTGCATATACATAATGAGATATCTTGGGGATGGGACCAAAAATCTAACCATGAAAGTCATTTATGTTTTCTATCCAGCTTATACACATAACCTGAAGGTGATTTTATGCAGGGGTTTTAGAGCATCTACATTTTGACCTCAACACATCACATGAAGCCAGGCATGGAATTTTCCACTTGCAGTGTCATATTGGTGCCAAACACTTTTGAACTTTGGAGCATGCTGCATTTCAGATTTTAGATTAGAAATGCTCACTCTGTAGTGGTAGTGGTAATAGCTTTATTATCATTTAAGATGGCAAAGCCATTAAAATGGCTACAGGAAGTTTATATTCTTCCAAGCAGGAACTTGTCCTTGGATACATGAGTGCTGGTATGTGTGTATAAAACTAGCTTCTGTTGTGGTCAGAGTTGCAAATGGACACTGGGTGAGGCTCACAAGCTTCCAGCTGGTTGGCCACTGCAACAGGGTATTTAAGAGAAGAGAGATGCTCAGCCACTGGCTGGAAGAGGCGACAGCATGGGATGGAGGCCACTTGGACTGCACTCAGTCAGAGGGCCTGCAACCCTGAGTTGTTTGGCTTAAGCCTGGTTCCTAGCTGGGGTGGAAAAAGTACCTCTAGTAGCACTGACTCTGGTCTGGTTCCTTCATCTTCCTCCTCCTCCCTGCTCCCAGCTGCAACCACGGAAAGTGTGTGGCAACCGGGAGCTCGTATGTGTGCAAATGTGCTGAGGGCTACGGAGGAGCTTTGTGTGACCACAAGAATGATTCTGCCCACGCGTGCTCAGCCTTCAAGTGCCACCATGGACAGTGCCACATCTCAGATCGAGGGGCGCCCTCCTGCCTGTGCCAGCCTGGCTTTAGTGGGGAGCACTGTGAACAAGGTGAGTCTAGTATGCCCATGGGAGTGAGGACCTGGGAGAAACACTTGGAGTTGTACTCCCATAGTCAGAATACCTAGGCTTCGGTGCTGGCTGGGCCACTAGATGATGCACAACCTTGGTTCTATCACTTTTCGAGCCTCAATTCCCTCATGTTGAAAATGGGGGGTGTATTAAACCTTTTTCTACCCAATATCTGTTGCAATAACAAACTAGCCCTGAAACACAGCACCTCAAACCACGGTAAACATTTTTTTCATCTGATATGGTTTTGGTATCGCTTCTCAGCCTTTTGCCTAAGATCAAGTGTGATATGGTTTTGGTGAGTCAGAAATTTAAAGACAGTTTAGCTGGAGTCTCTCAAGAATGGACTTAACAAGGTAAAGGCTGCAGTTTTGTAGAGGCTAACCTGAGACAGCAAGAGCTGCTTCCCACATGGTGCATTTCCATTTGGTGGCTATTGGCAGGAGGCCTCAGTGTCCCCCTGTGTGTCTCTATACAGGCTACTTGGCAGTCCTCATGACAGAGAAGCCAGCTTCCTACAGAGTAAACAATTCAAGAGAGCAAGGAGGAAGCCACAAGATCTCATGTAATCTGACCATGGGAATAACTTGCATTGTTGCTCCTACATCACACTGCTTACGTGAATCAGTCACATTTACTGAGGAAGGGACCACAGAGGGGACCTGGCCACCAGGAGGTGGTGGTCACTGGGAGCCACTTTACAGCCTGACACCATGTTGCCTTATAGGGTTGTTGGGAGGAGTACATGAGATATAAAGTTCACGGTACCAGACACAATGCTAAGAATTTGATAGCTGAACCGTATAACTTAGATTCATTAAAAATCTAGGTTAAGGGGCTGGGGATTTAGCTCAGCGGCACAGGGCCTGCCTGGCAAGCTCTAGGTCATGAGTTCAATTCCTGGTACCGGAGAAAAACAATAAATAAATAAATAAATAAATAAATAATTCTAGGTTAAGCGTCTTAAAAGTTGGAAGCAACATTGTTGTCATGAAGAAAAAAAAAAAACAGTTCTGTCACTTAGCATGTATGTGCCTAGGAGAAACATACTTTAACTCTCTGGGTCATAAGTCCTTATTTAAGTCATAGCACCTCTTGCATAGGTGTAATGTAAAGACTGAGATCATAGTAAATAAAGGATCAAAACTCTTGAGGAACATCAGCAAGATGGCTGACTAGGGATGGCTAGCAGATGTATCCCCTAGCACACAAAAGAACCCAACCAGGAAATAAACAACTACATTTTGACTGGCATATCTCAAAGAGGGCTGGAGTACAGCAAGGGAGTGGGGAGGCCCTCAGACCATAGATACCCAAGGTGACAGCAGGCAGAGGGGAGTGGGACGCCCCATCACCCACCTTGGCTCAAAGACAGGAGGGACTTCTGCTTGCAGGGAAAATGTAAGCAGGATGCACACACCAACACCTCCCCACTGCCATATATCTGAAACCACAGCCCCTGCTAGAGTGTGTCATGACCTGGGATCAGAAGGTACTGCACCTCTCTGTCCTTCATCACCCTTCCACACGGTGCTGTGGTGCCAGCTGCTTAAGTCTAGGAAGAGCGGGACACCTGTGAGCTTGACATCTGAACCCAGCGGACACCCTGCAGAGCAGGAGGTTGCCCTGATCTGCAGGACCTGCTACACATGACCCCTCAACTTGAGAACCAGCCCAGTGTCTGAAGCTACACCATGACCACCACAGACTCCCTCATTGTAGGACACTGAAGCACTCTGAGGTGTCACTGATGTTAATTATAGCTGCAGAACTGCATGGAGACTACACTATTGCATCCAGCTAGAACCCAAGCCAACACATCCTACTGAAATGACAGCCTAGAGCCATCTGCAGGAGGAAGTCTTTCTCTACAAAAGCCACTCCATAAAATGGGAAGAGACAACTATTCTACTAGGTGCACATATCAACACAGGGATACAAGAAATATGAAAACGAAGAAAACATGATACCAGATAAGCACAAGAATTCTCTAGTAACTGATAACAAAGAAAATGTATGAAAGAAGAATTTGAGGTAACATCCTAAAGAAACTCCGTGAGATACAAGAGAGTACATACCGATAACTCAATGAAACTAGAAGAACGATCCATGACCTGAGAGATTCAACAAAGCCATAAAAATGAAAAAAGAGACTAATGGAAATCTTGGAGCTGAACAATTAAATTAATGAAATAAAAAATGTAGAGTTTCAGGGCTGGGGATTTAGTTCAGCAGCACAGCGCCTGCCTGACAAGTGCAAGGTCGTGTGTTCGATTCCCTGCACCGGAAGAAAACCACCAACAAAACAAAACAAAAATGTAGAGTTTCAACAATAGATCAAGCAGAAAAATTTCTAAATTTGAAGACAAGTCCTTTGAAAGAGTCTAATCAGAGGCACAAAAAGAAAATAAATAATAAACCAAGAAAGGCTACAGAAATAACAGGAAACCATCAAGGGAAAACTTATCACATTACAGAATCTCAAGAGGAAGAAAAGAAAGAGAAGGGCACAGAACACTTATTTAATGAAATACCCAAATCTTAGAAGAAAGATGGATACCTAGGTTCAAGATCAAGGGTCACTAAATAGATTCAATCCCCAATGATCCCCTCCAAGGCGCATTTATAATCAAATTGTTTTTTTTTTTTTTTTTTTTTTTTTT